GGCGCCCCCCGCCTCTGCTGCCCTTCCCCGGGCAGCAGGAAGTCACATGAACACCCGCAAAGCTGTCACACCAGAACAGTTGAGTCCCTTCCTGCCTCTGCAAAGGAGGCTTTATTCTTCACAAGGGATCCCCCAGATGCTACAGCAGCATCCCAGGATGAGCTCACCCTCCTCTGGGCACTGGGAAGAGCCACAGCACCTTCTGTCCCCTTCACAGCCAGCACTCTACTGCTTCCCTGAGAGCAGGGCTCCCAATGCACAAACCCCACCAGTTAAACCACTGAGAGCTTCACCTGCTGCAAAGAGGTTGCTTTGACTTTGCCTCCAGAGCACAGAGCAGCAGCAAAGCTGAAGCACTTCAGGCCACCCACCCAGCAAGAGCTAGAGGTGAGCAGCCTCCTGGCACAAGGGGCCCCAGGGGCTGGATCCCACCACCAGCCAGCCACATCCTGGGTGCCAGGAGAAGCACCCCTTGGAGCTGTCACCACTCATCCAGACAGAGCCACAGCTGAGCTGGTCCAGCACTACCAACAGTCCTACTCTGAGCAGGGACAGAGAGGTCTTCCAGGGAACATCCTACAGTCCCATGACCCACTCCCACGGGAAGGACACGTCCCCTCTGCTGAGGGAGCTCTCTGCCAGCTCAGCAAATTGTGGGTGAGCTCAGGACTCTGCAAAGGCCACCAGGAAATCCACCATGCCCATTCCTACAGGCGAGCTGATGGTGCCATTTTCTGGCAGTCAGCATGCACACAGCCACTGGAGCCATGGGCAGGGCACAGAGCTCCAGAGCTCAGCTCAGAGCCGTGCCCAGGACTCGGCTGAGCTGTCACCCAGGCATCCCACAAAGCCTCTGCTCCCCAGGGGGTGACACAGTGCTGGCACTGCCCATACTTTTCTCAGCAGGAGGACTTGCTCCACGTACTCCTTTTCCAGAACCTCTTGATCCACTTGTTGGTCCCCATAGACGTGCTCCACCAGCAGCTGCAGCTCTCTGACCAGCTTCTGCCGCAGCCCTTCATCCTCAATGTGACGGGTGAGGTGAATCCTGCAACACAGGACACTGCTGCTGGACTGCTCTGGGCTGGGCTGGAGCTAATCATGCCAACAGCACAACGTTTACTATTAAAGCTGCACAACTGCTCGAAAGCCAACGCTCAACCCCAGACGGACATCCCACAACAAAGCCTTTTGCTCTAACGTGCCTCAGTGAACCCAGGTCGTGGTGGCTCTGGGCAGCACAACGTCCCCGTGGCACACGCTGCACTTGCACAAGTGCCTCCTGGAAGTGTTGCCTCTTTTTAGAGGTTATTTTCAATCTAAACTTAAGACCTTGCATCCTCCAGGGACACACTGTCTGCCCGGGTGTTTACAGGGTGCCCGGGCACAGGGCAGGAGGCAGGGGTGGGGCAGGCAGAGACCTGCACCTGGCTACAGCATGCTGAAAAAGCTGCTGTGCTGGGACCATGCTGGGCCACAAACAAAATCTCCAGACAGAGCCCAGCCCTGGGAACAGACTCTCACCAACAGACAGATTGTTATGGTTTAAAGTTACCACTGCTCCTTATACCGGTTGAATTCTGGAAGCTTTTCAAGGTCCAGGAGGGCAGAGTGGGTGGTAATTCTGCCCATTTCAAACTGTGAGACCAGCTCCTCCAAAGTCCTCCCCATCTGTTTCTCTGCAAAACAAGCCAGGAGGGGAATGAGCCACCCCTGCTGCTGGAGGAAGGCCCCGGGGTGGGGGCAGCAGCACACCCCAGGACAGGGCGACACGGGAGCCAGGGCTGCCAGGAGGGAACACGGAGCAGGCACCCGTGGGAAGCTGCCCTCTCCCCAAAGGTGGGCTCTGCAGACTGCTGGGGAGGAACTGGACACTGGGACACCCTACTTGGCTCTCCAGTGGGACCCCCCACCATCCATCAGCCAAAAAGAAGCAACACTCGGGCAGGAGGCTCCACTGCCCAAGGAAGATTTCACTCCCTCCCAAGCAGCGTTCCCAAAACACAAGTTAGTTTATGAGACCCACACAGCAAGATCAAGGAAAGGAGTCATTGACTCAACTCCTCTTGGTCTTTCAGGTTAAACGAGAAGTGTGACAGATGTA